GACGATAAACACTAACATCATATTATAATTATATTATTTTAAATTTAATTGTAATATATAGAAAATATACAATTCCAGCGGTGTTTCCTAAATGGTAAAGAACAGGTTACCTGGAAGGGCAAAAATAAAAGTTAACCCGTTAATTAGTCAATCAAGAGCACATCAAACGCTATAAATACCCTACCCTTTTCCCCCCTCCCCATTCTCCTCCTTTTTCCTCTTTCCGTTATATTTCGCTTTCTTCGTCTCCCTCTCCGATCTTCTTTAGGGTTTGTTTTGTGCAACTTCCGTGCTACAGAGGTGACTGCCGCCCCTCTCTCTCTCTCCTTCCTCCGCTCCTTATCATCTGATTTCCTATTCCGATTCTCCCTTTTTTTTTTTTTTTTTTTTAAATTTCGCCATCCTCCAGCTTTCGGCATCTTGAATCTCGTCAGAACAGCTATTCAGAGATTGGTTCTTGTTTGTTTCAGCAAAGTTGTATCGTCAACCAGGTATGTGGAATAGATTTTTTGCTTTCGGTGATTTTGAATGCATTGCCGCTTAAATATATTAGTGTCAGATTTAGTTTTTTTTGTAAATTAATCGATGTCAATGTTCATGAAATCATGAACTTTTTTTAAAAAAATTTATTTTTCTATTTCAATTTTTGTTCTGTTTCGTTCAGACGAATTCCTTGGCTTTTCTTTTTTGTTTTAATTAATGATCTGTTTTTGAGCACTAAATGTTCTCTTATATTTTGTTTTTAGATTTTATTTATGAACAGATTTTTTTCTTCGTTGCAGTGTGTATTTGGCAGATGATTTTGACGGCTCATTTGTTTTCTTTTCTTTGATTTTGTCTAAGTTTCTCGTCTTATTCACGTTCTTTTGATGTAAAAGTGCAGTAGAAAATGGTTCCTGACTTTTGATTATATATTTTTCCCAAACGCGGAAGGAGGTGTCTAGCTGCCTTAATTTCTCTATTTTTCTTGTATTGACTTTCTTCGTTTTCTATACCTTGCCCAGAAGGTTCATTATATATTTGACTCACCTTTGCTGAAATCATGCGCTGATATCGCTGACAAAAGAAAAGCTAATTTTGAGCCATTCAATAATTATTTTCCTCTTTTTTTTTTTT